TTTTGAACTCTTGTTGCAAAATTCACTGTGTTACAGATTGTATGTTGTTATTAAGGAGTTTACTTGTTTTTTCTGACTGCTTTCATTTAAATATAATTTCTTTATTATTTATGGCTCTGCAGAGCAAAACTAGGCACTGACTTTAATATAGTTGTGTTGTGACGGTTTTAATAAAGAAATTGTCTTATTATAACACAACAGGATGCATGAAATGAAAATTATTCATTTAAATAGTTTATGTTAGTTAGTTAGTTATTGGAGAGGGTGGGTTTCCCCATGCACTTAGACCGGTATTGGTCCATTGTGCTTCCCTCTATGATTTCTACCAGTCTCTATATCCTACCAGTACTGGTGCTTACTATCAGTCCCGCCCAGCCAGCGAGACCGGCTCTACTAGCTGAGAGGTATCTATAATGCTTCCCCCCTCTACCAGAGGTATTAGAGACTACTGTTGGGCGGGAAACGTCCGTAATTTGGCTCAGTGACCTCCTTTGGAGATATGAGGTTCTTTTACGTGCCGTAAAGCTACAACACGGGACCCACGGCTTAAAGTCCCTCCCGGAGGATTTGTTCCCTGAATTTTTCCACCCTTAAAAATTCGACGACCTCCGCCAGGTATTTGAACCCGCGTACTACGAGTCATGAGGTGGGAATGTTACCTCTAGACTACGGAGGCCGCTTAAATAGTTTATGTTTATGTCTCCACAGATTATAAAGTCAGACTTTGGATTGTACAGTTATTTTAAAGTTGCATCTAGACTCCTCAGAAATTCAATAACCTCTCCTGAAGGGGCTCTGTTCAGGCTTAATATAATTAGGTGAGATGTTTTAGTTACTAGCTGTATTGCACAGATTTCAAAGTGATGAGAAATATCAATTTTACTGAAATGTAGATGTCTTAACAAAAACACACTCCTCCCCTCTGTAGGCAGAAATTTGAGCCTAACAGGTAAGCATTCATTGAGAGGAACAGCAATTCCTGTTCAACCAAGTGATGTTCACTTAAACATAATATGTGAGGGTTTATGTTGTCTACTTCAAAAGAGTGTAGTAATTCATCACTTTTGCTTTCAAGCCTCTGATTTTGTGGTGAAAGAGATTTATTAAATTTAATGTTTCTGCATTTTATCTCTGAATTTCCAAGGCTGCTGGACTGTATTTAATATATGTTAGGCATCTTGGTGCTTTTGAATTTAATCTAAAGAAGGAGACGCCCTAGCATGGGTTATAACAGGAATACCGCTTGTACCTACACTGTGAATGTCTGAGGGCCTGAAGATGACACTACAGTGTTGAAATCTGACGTCTATTTTGTGAAAACTGGTGAAGAATATATTTTGTACAACTGATTATTTCTAAGTTTCATTACATGTAAAACAATTTCCTATTATTACAGGCTGAACTTGCAGTGAATGGCACTGTAGAAAATGAATTCAATTCAGATATTTACAAATTGTTCTAATAAATTTATTCATTTTCTCATATATTTTCTAAGAATCAGAATAAGCTAACTGCAGTCTCTCTGAACTTCTTAACTTCACGGTCACATGTTGAAAACTGATGATTTATTAGACATAAGAGGGCTTGCTTCGTCACAATGATCAGTGAAGGCAATGCATCAGTCTTATACAGTGGAAACGTTTCAGGAGAGTGATTATTAAAGGTGAAAAGAGATTAAAAGGCTAAAGTCTTCACCTTTTCACAAATTTTGATTTACTGCTAGAGTTATTAGAACTCTGGCTTCAGCTCCAGGGTGCTGTCTGCACCTGTCTTACAACTCATACAAAGCCCTCTAATTCAGTGTGTGGTAAAATTAATAAATTGTTAAACTGTCTGTGAGTAAAATAAAGGGTAAAATCATTAGGTAATTTTCATGCCAGCAATATGTTAAAAGCATTCGAAAGGTGCCAAGCTATTAAGAGGTCTGTCATTAAGATTCTGAAAATGAGGCAAATAAAATAACAACAAAGATTTTTCTGCAGCATGGAAAATTCAGACATTAAAATGACAAAATTCCTTTGGTTAAAGATACTTGGAATGACCCATACCATTCATGAATGCCACAATGTTTGACACTTTAAAGTTATTATCTCCAAGACTGTTGTGCAATATGCCATGAAATCCAACATAGTAGTCTAAAGGTAACACTCTAGACCTGTATTTGTTAGGTGCTTGGTTCAAATCTTGGCTGGAATATCAGTTATACTGAATGAGGTTTTTCGTGGTTTTCCTCATTCCAGGTTGTCATTCATCAGTCATCCTACCATGTGACACTATACAGTCTTGATACTGAAAATGTTATTAAATAGCCAATGAAAAATAGCATGCCATGAAGATGGATGGCACCGCATTCTTGATCCCAAAATAGGCATTCAATAAGAATATGTAAAATAGGAAGGGATTCTCCACAGTATGTAAAAATATGTGCTGATCTCCATACAACAAATGATCAAGTGTAACTGATCTGAAGCTGTAGAATCATGACCTTCTCCTTCCTGATGGAGCAGGAGGACTGCCACACCTGCACATACAGTTTCATCATTCAAAATCTTGTCCTGTGTACTGCCTCACCTGTCTTGCTAGGAAGCCAGTGAGAATTAAGAATGTTAAGAGGCAAGAAATTCACTGCCCAGAGCTCATTCAGAAAACAAATGTCCCTGCAAAGTGGCTTCTTTGGCAGCTGCACCAGTGGCCTAGTTGCCATGCAGGCCAATATGGCCAGGTGCCCAGCAAAAGACAATTAGTTTTTCTGTCTTTTGGAGATGGAACATATGCTGCAGAACTCAGTAACAACTGGATGGTTTGCTGTGTTCAAATGCAGACTCTGCAAGGTACTCAGGAGATGACATTACAGAGGCTGTCACTGAATGAACATAAGAGCTCAATATATGGCACAGATTTCAGCCGTATAAATGCTGATTTAACTAAGAAGGCAGTAACAAAGGACCTATTTTCATAGACAAATGCACAACCACTCAAACCTCAAGAAAACAACCCCTTATTACACAGCCATGTACTCTGGTGAGATGGAAATGAGTTCTGCAAAGTGTCAGCGATGTCAGTACTAGTATCCATCTAATTAACACAAACTCTCCCATGCAAACTGAACCCTGGAGGACTGATGAAGGGACCAGAAACTGTCCAATTCATAAGAAGTAATGATATACAAAGATGGCTTCACAGGTTAAATCAATTAATGTTTCTACATTATCAACAAAAGACACAAAATTCACAGATATAAGAATCAGTATTCCATTAACTATGATGGGGCCGTGAGGATAAATATGCATATCGACTTAAAATGGTACATGCATCCAGCTTGAAGTATATAATGCATCATTATGTGACATAGCATTCAAGATAATGTAGTGTGCATAGCAACTGACATGCAACGACCATGGGATGGGTCGATATACCAGGGCCATTCCAGAGCAACAGTTCAGTAAACACGTTCCTGTTGCTAGGCAGCAGATTCCTAGCAATGCAACAAGTGCATTACAGCAATGGAAGAGCTGTGTTTTTATGTGGTCTGTGCCAAGAGGTTATAAGAAAGGTGAGGTCTGGAGCTGAGTTACTCCACGTGGAGGCAGGGTCAAATACCTAAACTGTGACCCTGAAAGTTGTAGGAGGCGACAAAAAGATAAATCTCAAATCTGAGACAGTAAAATATGGTCGCAAGTCCCAAGGAACTCGGACCCAAGAAAGACTGTACTGGCAAGGGCCAGCAACATACTCATATACAAAAGACAGACCCCCATCCTCCTGTTGGAGAGGGTGCTCCACAAAAACAAGACCATAACTGCTAAACAGTAATAAATATTTGGTCATGAGTCCCAGATGGGGCTTGACACCAAGACTTAATGACTGACTGACCGTCAGTCACAAATGTGACTTTGACTTTGAGTTGTCAGCTGATAGGATTTTTGTATGGCAGTCTGTGAAGAAAAGACCTGAGCCAGAGGCAGAGGAAGAGCCATTGTTGGAGCCATTACCTGGAAACGTCTAATTACAGTCTGAGAACACTATACTGTGTGCTCTAATGAAATGTAAAGTGTGAAAATAGTGAAAGTGTTAGTTATCTGTAGTTACGATCTGTAAGTGGTCAATAAATCTATTCGCCAATAAAAACCCATCTATAGTCACATACATACTTCATGACAACAAGACAGTTACCTCTAATTCACTGCACAGCTGTTACATTAGCCTGACTAGTAAAGTGATTCAGCTGGGAACTCTTACACCCAGCTTTAGAATGTGATGGCTTGCCAAGTGTCAAAGACATCTTCCTACTCTCAGTACTTTCTGACATAAGAATGCTAACATTTCCAACAAAGGTTAGAGTTGTAACACCATAATATGTGATGTATGGAAGTTGGTTAAACTGTTATAAACAAAAGCAACGACTTTCCTGCTGAAGAGTGTCCACAAATATACATCTTACAGAATGCACTTCTTTCACACACATCAACATACGACACATTAAACTCACAAGTGCTTGATATATCTGCACCATATACAAATAGATATCATCAGTACCTCCTATAATAGTAAAGCTACTGTATTCAAATCTGTGCCAGTCAAAAAGTTCGTGTATATAGATCTGCATGAAGTTCAGAGTGCCAATTATTACTGCGAATCGGTGCCACTTAATAGATCACTGTAACTCATGGTGCAAGGGTTGAGAAGGCTAACCCCTTATACATTCATTCATTCATTACATGTACATAGCCTAACCTGTCAGTTACAAAATGTACAGTGTATTCTAGCATATTCTCTTTATGATATGAAAGTGAAACTGAAATTCTGCTGACCATATGATCAAAAGGACTGAGAATGCCAAATTCTGAATAGCAAATATTTCAGGCAACAACAGTCATTCAACCACAATGAGTTACATGGTTAAGGAAAATGTGAATTTGGATTAGTATTCATGTACTTTCTCATTCCCATTGTGGTATATTTAGACTTAAGAACAAAATATTTTATACAGTAATACATACAATTTGTCGGGGTAATCTAGGACTTGTGCTGGAATCTTCCTGACGGGACACAACAATGGACACCTTGCTGCCTTGTGGAGCATTACGCAAAACTGAAACAGCTTCTGACTGAGTCTTGCCAGTCATCTCAACTCCATTCACCTCCAGCAGCCTGTCTCCAGGTTTCAGCCTTCCATCCTCAACTGCTGCTCCCTGAAAATTGCATATATATTCTTAGGTCTGTGCCATTTTCTTTCTTCTGAACTTTGCATACTATATATAGGCAAAGTGGAGGCCATGTGTACTGGTCCATCTGTAAATTTCTCATCCCAGATCTCTTAAGTTATTTCAATGATGTTTGGTATGGGAGGCCAACACTAAATATTGTTTGGGGAATTTAATTTAGATCCACCTTGGTCTGTCATTGCCTCTACATGAAGCTGAAGTCAAACTTATCCAATTAGGAACAATGGTTTATCATATGCAAAAAGAAAGCACCTGAGATAAATCTCTTTAAAATTCCTAATATGAACTTGAAATAATTTTCGATATAATTAATGAAATAACTGGAAGAAAAACAATAATCTGTGACTGTGTAAGTAAAAAAGTTAATAAGAACTAAAACTTTGTTATAATGGTATATTAACACAATGATCCATTTTCTGGATATCATCCATCATCCTAATTTTTATTCAAGATGATGTTTTGGAGACAGGACTCTGTCTCTGTCCTCTACCGTACCCAATCAATAGGCCTAGTCCCTGTATCCAGCCACCAGAAGTAACACAAATCATGATATATGACTTAAGAAATAAACCAATGCAGATTTAATGAGCTGAGGAAGTAACAGTATAACAGTTTAATAATATCTTACTTTTGGCAGAATATTCTTGATGTATATAGGGCAGTTGCCTCCTGCAGGATTGTCCCTTGTCGTAATGCTAAAGCCTAGACCATATACCCCTTTGGTTAGCTCCAGTTCAATTTTGCGACCAATTTTTCTTGTGTTGGCAGTCTGCAAGCTGGTTGCTGCATTACGGGGTGCAGGCGAGACCTTCTTAGTTGGGGACACAGTTGCTATCTTTGTCCTCATATTCTCTGCTGTAATAATATATATTAACATAAACAAGAGGGTCCTCAGATCAACTGAGCCTTGAACAGACATGAGTACCAGGAATATTCTTGGGGGTAAAGGGCGGCTGGATTGAATTGAATTGAACTGAATTTATTTACATTCTATAAATCCTAAGTAGGTTAGTACCTTTGGATACAGAACAAGTCAAAAGGTTACATACAAAGTAAAGGCAATTTTAGCTTAAAAATTAATATAACTTAATTTTACATCATTCTCCATTTACATTGAAGTATTCATCTAAAGAGTAGAAGGAATGAGCATGTAGATAATTCTTTAACTCTGATTTAAACTTTTTAGTATCATTGCCCAAGTTTTTAATACTTTGTGGCAGATTGTTGAACACTTTTATGCCAGTAAAGTAGACTCCTTTTTGATATACTGATAAAGTTGATGAGGGTAGGTGGAAGTTATATTTTTGTCTAGTATTCATGTTATAGACATCAGAATTTAATTTGAATTTATCTTTGTTGTAAACAACAAATAAGAGAAGCGATAATATGTATTGCGATTGAAGAGGTAGAATTTTTAATTTCTTAAATAATTCTCTACATGAATCTCTACTTCTACATCCTGTAATGATTCTAATTATATTCTTTTGTATTTTAAAAATTATTACACTATGTGAAGAGTTCCCCCAAAATATTAATCCATAGTTCATAATAGAATGAAAGTAGGCATGGTAAACCATCTTCAATGTTTCCTGTGACATAAAAGGCTTAATTGATCTCATCGCATAGCAAGCTGCATTTAATTTAGGTATAATTTGTTCAATATGTATTTTCCAAGACAGTGTACTGTCTACATGTATTCCAAGGAATTTTGTATCAAGTACTTTACAGATTAATTTGTTGGCATAACTGATGTCCAGATCAATTTGGTGGTTGTTTTTAGTTGTGAATGATATGTAATGGGTTTTATCAAAATTTAATGAGAGTAAATTGGCTTCGAACCATCTGTTTGAGGCTTCAAATACAATATTTATGTCATTTTTAAAGTTTTCAAATTTAGAGTTCTTAAATATTATACTAGTGTCATCTGCATATAGAATTGGTTTAGATTTATTGTTGATGGTTTTAGATAGATCATTTATGTAGAGAAGAAAAATTAAGGGACCTAAAATTGATCCTTGTGGAACACAGTGCTTTATAATTCCCCAGTTTGAGTGTAGGGCTGACAACCTTGCCGCCATCTATGAGCTGACTGTCTAGAAAATGTGAGAGCCTCAACATCTCACAACTCTGTGGGCCTCCACGACCTGTTACAGGGATACCTTTACTTTTACTTTCCTTTATTAACCTAAACAAGAATTTCCAACTACAAGTACAACATACTGTCATATAGTAACATAGCATCCATTTTAAATGTAATGATCTGTTCCTTTTTCTAACAATGAACACTGCTAACCATGTGAATAGCATGTTCAGCATTCATTACTGCCATATTATTTTAAACCAGTTGTACTAATCCCATGGCTAACTTCAATTTTTATTCCTCAATGAAATAACTACTCTCAGATTATGCCACCACACACACATAACTAACATCCCCTAAACTGTACAAGTAAAACCCTCAGACTTCTATAGCACTTAGATCAGAGCAAGTTAAATCTCCTTGCACAAATAATGGGCTCCAGAATCATGACTGCAAGTTTGCTTTCTGTTGGACCACAGACATCATAAGCAGGGGATAACTAGCATGGCAACTGCAGCCTAGCAACAAAGTGAAAAGATATTCTTTTATTCCTCTGAGAGATGCCTGAAAGGTCTTTCTTCAAAGTAGAAATGAATATGCTTCTGTTCCACTTAAAAGAAGCACATTAATCTTTTTCTTACAAACACAGTTCAGAGGAACAGTGAGATATTTTGAAAGTGGGTTACGGTCTCGCTTAAAAGACTGTATTAACAACTTCTTACAGAACAATGAAGTCCCAAAGTGCAAAATGATTATTGAAAACACTTGGGCTCTAATAAGAGTTTGAACATCTATATATATATTGTAACATGTTGCGCAACGGAGAACCCCTCCCTACCCAGCAGCAACGTGGCAACTCAGGCCACAGGCGCGTGGCGGTAACGAAGCGCTCCCTCCTACCCCTCCGCGGTGACGTAACGCGCAACGCTAC